ATATTTTGTATTTTAATATGTTTATGATGACTTAGATTCTATTTGGATAAATTTATTCCAAAACATTTCTAGGAGAAGAAAATAATTAAAAGAAGTTTTACCATAAATTGAAATTGATTTATACATAAATTAAAAATATATTTTGGAGAAATTAATATAATATGAGAAAGTTTCTACACATTAACTTATGATAATTTTAATATTTGTAGAAGTTTATTTCAATTTCTCTTATTATCTTTTGTTAGATCTGGAAAAATTTGTCCAAACAAACTCTTCATTTTTGAAACATGAATTCTCTCTTGGGATTTAAAATTTTATTTTATGTTAACTTTGATTAATTAATTAATTTATATATATATATATTATAATTATGTTGTATACTATATTTTTCTTTTGTAATTTATTGTATTTCGTATAAAATCTATGCTTCCTAGCTATCAACTTAATATAGATTGACTAATTTCCACGAATGCGCCTTTTTTCCTTGCAATTATTTGTTAGTTTGAATTCTCTGAATCATGGTGTGTATTTGGTAATAGTCTTCATTCTCTTATAAAAAAATGAAAAAGAAAATAAATATTGAAAGAAAAGAGGATTTTCACTTGAGGAATATTCTTATTCAACTTAAAGGTTTTAACCTTTAGGGTTTATTTTGTGTTCCCCAACTTGAAGAGGATATACGAACTCTTTAGCAAGCCTTGTATCAAACTTTGATCGTACTAATTATTGAATGTTGTGTTTCTTTGTTTACACAGCTTTGCTAATTGTGAGCTACGCTCAATGGTTATCGTTGATAGAGGGTGAGCCTTTTATTTGCAGCATATGTTGCAGCTAAGCTTGGCAGAAAATTCACGTTTGAATTGTATTTTTTGTTTTTGCAGTATGATTGGTTCAGCTGAGTCCTCTACCAACTATCCTGGCAAAATTCCATTTGGCCTTGACCTTCCTAGTGATGTTGCTGACCAGAAACTTCCAGAAAATGGACAATGATATTGATTGGGTGGGACTCTTAGCTTTTATGATTTCCTTTATAGGTTTCTCGATGCTAAAATCACAAGTTGGTACCAATTTTAGCATTCATTAATTTTCATATGTGAACAATACATTGCGTTCTTCTTCCTACTCCTCCCATGTGTCTAATAGCAGCTAAAGAAACAGCCAAGTTTTATCCATGGTAAAACCTGATTGGAGTTTGAAGATCGTTCATTACTAAATACGTTGTACATTTTTCGCTTGTTCCGTTCTCATCGTGCCAAAATAACCAATATTCTCCTAAATATATGTTTAGAAATATTTGAAAATTTAAGTGATCTGATATCCTTAATTATTGATTAAAATAAAATTTTATGATTATGAATCATTTAAATTTACCTATACATGTATCTAAATTTTTACAATAATATTATAATTATAATGTATAAAGTTATTACTTCACCAAGTCGACTTCTGTAGTTTATTGAGTTATTTATATGTCTAACATAAAGTAACTATTTTTAAAATAAAATAGATATTTGTATATAAATAATAATTTAATTCTTGATTTGTGTCTTAAGTTATTAAATAAATTAAAATATTATAAATTATTTCAGATTTAACTACATATCTTATATTAATTCGTACATCTTAAGTTATTATTATTACAATATTCAAATATTTTAACACCTTTAATTATCTTTTTTGCTTGTTTTAACTTTAACTTAATATTTGTAAATTATTAGTTTCTAAATATACATAACTTTATATAATATAATAATATTTGATGCCATTATT